GCTAGCGAGTCTTTAATTTTCTCGTGTGAATATTAATTACACATAGTACTTTTTTTATCTTAGTGTATACGGGGATCTCAATTGTTACATGCGAATAAATTTTCCTTTACCACCCTGTGAGTTAATATGAAAGTCCATAACTACAATTATAGGGAGTAACATTGGCAACTCCTTTCAATATTTCAGAAATTTTATCTCCATCATAACAATAATGTCATAAAAAAAAAATCTCTATATTTTCTAAAATTTTTACAACATTAAAAAATGAATTAAAACAGTAGGATCAGTGATGCATCAAAGAAAACCTTAAAATATTTCATTCTCTCATAGGAAACTGATCAAATCATAATTAGAATCGCGTAATGTCTGTCGTTACAAAACTTAGCATTAATTGTATCATAATTAACACATGATTGTAGCATGCTAAAAATAGAGTTTCATATTGTTAAATTCAAATTATATAATTGGCAATTTCTAAATTTGTAATTGACATATTTCTTTAGTCAAAATCAAATCCTAATTGAATTGTATTAGGAGTTTATAAAGTTGTAATCAAAATCAAAATATGAGTTATTAAATTCTAATTAAAGTCAAAAGAATTGGGGTGGGTAATATAGTCCTAGAAAGAGTCCAAGATTCCAAGACGATCACATATGATCAAGGGACTGCAATTAGAAGTCTAAAGAGTATCAAAGAGCCGTACAAGTTATATTCTAAATTCTTAGTCGCAACTTGCAACACATTTATCACATAGAAAATATTAGAATTTGGATAAGACTATTTCTAAACTAATTTATTCATCACAGCCACTAATTTATTCCAAGTTAGCTCAAAACTATTAATTAAAATCTAAATATTACAACATGACATGTTAAGTTGTGGAGTCTAATTGTTACCACTTTGAGTCTTTGTAAATTTCGATTTTTTCCTGAGTTGTCTCATAAATAGGGAGCCATCGTTAAGCATTTGATACCCATCATAAAAGAGTGAAATAAAGGTTAGGCGGAGAAGACGTAGTCTCAAATTTTGGCGAATCTCTATAAATTTTATATATCTTTTTTTCTTTCTATTTATTGATAGTAGTTGGTGTAATAAAATTAAAATTTTTAATTCTCAACAA